AAAAAAAAAGTAAGTTTTTTAGCACTAATAATAAGAGTAATAAATTTTTGTGCATTTTCTAATTTAATGACATCTATGAAAAATCCCCCAAATGAAATCTACGATGTACCTTAAATGCTGAAGTTGACCAGAGAACATATATATAAAAATAAATTTTATATATATTAATAAAAAAGAACACCTTTAGAAATAAATGATGGTTCAACTACGCTGGCCGGATCGGATGGTTTGGTCCGAATTAAATAAATACGATTTTGCGTAATATGTTTAGCTTATGTAGCTCACATTGACATTTAACGATACCATGTGATCATTAAAAATTTTAGCGACCATTGTGATAAAAGAAATACTTCAAAAATCATTAAATAACTTTTAACAAACTGCAGTATTCGTTGCTAAAATTAACACTATAAAAACAACGATTTTAATTTTAATTTTAATTTTTTTTTATATATTTAAGATTCTCATCAATACAAGAGATCGAAAATTTTGGACATATTTACGGATTGTAATTGCAATCAACGTTACATCTCCGGCCCAACTTTTTTACGCCAATTTGATGTGATAATGACGTTCAATTTGGGCTTCAAATTTTCACATAAAATTATAGTAATGAACAGTGTTTCGCCAAATTTGTTGCTATACTTTTCATTTGGCATAATACATATAAATTTAATTATTTTTCATTTTTTTCCTTCATTTTAAAATGTGGTGCGAGAAATAAAAATGGTCCAATGCAGATTTCGCGAAAATTGAGGTCCGCTTCAATTTCTAATGTGAAATCTTGAAAATGGATAGACTATATAGGTAAAGACAACAGGTATCCATTTCTAGTAAGCAAGTCGTCATCTCATATTGCAGCAGTGTGGCTTTCCTTGATGCTGCAATTTCCTCCATAAGCAGATCATCTGTCTAGGAGATTGGTAGTGCGCCGTAAAATAACCTTCGATGCATCCAAACTGACAGAACTTCAAGCTGTGCACGTAATGGACGGGCCTTGAGCTGTTGTATTTTTCGACCCACGTTCCCATGCTAACATCTTCCATTTTAAATAACTGAGACATAAACCACACATCAGCTCCCAATGGCAGGAGATTGACTTTAAGCAAATTAGACTTACTCTCAGTTTATGGTTCTCGAAATCGGATACAATGTATTGTGCTATGTCAGATGACACAATATAACCAGGCCCATTAGCATAGGGAGGATAGTGCTCTTCAGGCCATTCCTGCATATCCATAAAATAGCGAACACAAGTGAGAATATGCTTCCTGTGACTGTGAGGGATTAAACATTAATTCACAGAAATGTGCACAAACAAACTATTGGTTTATCCTCAATCTAAGACTCGTTACATATAAGATTTTCTTCCTCACGCCTCTCTATCTAATTGGACCAAGATCAGCAGCCCCTTTAGTTTCCTTTATGTAGTATGTGAAACCAGGGAAAACCCAAGACAGGAATATGAACAGTACGATTAGGCTCCCACATGGTCCAACACTTCCTTCCACAAACACAATGTCCAAGTAAAGAGCATTAGCAATAGGTGATTTTCCATTTCTTCCTTTTTTCTTTTTCATTTGGTTTTTTTTTTTTTTCAGCCACATGGTAACAGGAAAAACTTGGACAGCAAGGGAGAAAATTTCAAGTTCACAGTGGAGAAATAAAACTAATTTGCATATAGATATTGGTATTTCACCTTTAGTGAGAGTTGTAGTTTAATGCTCAGCAACCAACATTCCCAAAAATGAGATAATCATTTACCAAGTATTTATATGCTGGGAAAATCCTCTTCCATTTTATAAATGGGATCAAAAATTAAGAACCAAGCTCTATCACATCATTTGATCTTCATGTGTATACTTTCCAATTTCCCAAACATAATAGGGTTGATATTGCCTGAACAATGTGTAAGAAAACTCAATGCTTCCAACCACAAGTTCTGTGGTTATAAAAAAATGTTCAAGATTTAAGGCTATTTTAACCTGGTTAGGCAACAAAGAAGATGAGAATGAAAGGAATGCTAACTTTAGTACCCAAGCATCAACTAAGAGAAAAACCGTGGTGGGGGTCGGGTACAGGTTTGCTGAGTAGAAGATCATATAGGTAGCTAACTTCTCAGTTCTCACACATGGTGGAATTTAAAAGCTTTAAAGCATTTACAAGGACAACGGTAGTCTTCAACTAGAAAAGACGTTAAAATCCCTAACAGCATATTTGTCTATTTTCTAAGCTTAAAAAGTTTAGTTATAAGTAAACATGTTTTAAAAATAAATTGCCTTTTTTATCGGTGAAAGTTGGAAATTAATAAATCGTGTTAGATTCACGAACAAATATAAGCAACTTTTTCTATTTAAAAGTAAGAAAAAGGTGGCTTCATTAAATTTGGACAAGATTAAATCAAGTCCATCTACTTTATTAGACAATGATTACTGAAGTTAGCATAAGCATTATAAACTGGAAAGAAACAAAAATTCCATAGAGCTTGTGAAAAGCAACGTGTAGGGGTGCAATAAGGTCATAAAAGCAAATGAATCTTCTTAAAATTAAATAACTTGGCAAACTAAGATTTCGCACCTCATATGTAACTGCCCATTTACCATGTCGTAGGGGCTTATGATGGTAATTGATATTTCCAATGTACAAGCCTCTAGCACTTGGGGCTTTCTTCACTTCATTCATCACTGCATCTAGCCTTACAAAGGTATCGTCATCACACTTCATAATGTACTTTGCAGCCACAGTACGGACCTGTAAACTACCAACTTCGTGAATGCCAGAGAAAGAATTAGGCAAAAATGGAAGAGGATCAACTCTTGAATTTGATGAAAAACGCACCCCATACTCGCAAATCGCAACAGTCTTCAGTACAACTAGGTCATAATTATCCATGTAAGGCACTATAACAATATCACCAAAAAAATCAGCTTCTTTCATGAGCTCCACATTCACTTCCTTTCTTGCATGCTGCCACAGTTTGAATTGCAGCAATTTAAGGACATTAATAACAAGGTTTAAACTAAAAATCGTATCTAAAGGGACATTTCCCATTCAGTGCGAATTCTTACCATTGCTACAAAAAAACGAGCAACAAAACTCATGGACTTTATTGATCCAAGCTGCAACCAGGACTTCCTAACTGCCATTCTCTCAGCAAAATGATTGCCTGCAGAAAGGATGCCGACAAAGAGCTCCACAGGTCCAGTGGGAAGAGGTGGGGCTTGCCATTTTGCTGAGAGCTCCAGATTCCTTTGCTGAGCAAAACTTGGATGTGAGGTAGGTAACGAAGCAGCAAAAATAGAATGCACGTCAATGTCTCCATTCAGAAACAGACCCGTGGCATCCTCAAGAGTAAAACCCTGTCAAGATAAGACGAAATTTTTATGTCTGCATTTTTTCACAATTTCCCCACTTAAGAGTTGATGCAAGAATACTCACAGGCCGATAAGGAAATGAAGAGACATGCCTTCCATCTACATTGATATGATACCCTTCCAACCCAGCACTGAGTGTAAGAACAAACAACTTGCCCTCAACAAAAGGGTAAGGCCAATCAACTGTAACCTTCTTTGTCCTCCCAATCAGCCTTTTCAACCACCATGTGGCCCTTGATTCTTCAGAGTGATTATCATCGTCGCGTATCCACTTCTCACATTTCACCTGTCCATCAACTTTAAACAATTTAAAGTATTAAAAATAAAAGAACATACGTTTGCAGAAAATGGAGAAATCAAGGATCAAATAATAAATTATATTACATGCCTAAACTAGCAAACTGGTCTTAACTAACATCATGTCGGTTTTACACTACTCATCCAGAATAATTTCAGTCAAATAACCAATTCTTATCAAACAATTATCCGGTGATTTAACAAATTTTCAACTATTTTCAATCCAAAAACCAGTTCGTAGCATCAAACACTATTGTCACTAGCCAACCCTATATCAACATCTATTAAAAATATGCAAGCAAATTTAACACTTCTATCTAAAAGAAACAAGTAAGGATGAAAATAAGCATGATGAATCATCAGAGTTACAACTTTATGCATTTAAAATTTAAACAACATTAACTTTGAACTTAAAATTCTATACCAGTTTCCTCATCGACACTGGACCTCCACCCCTCACACCGTTGCGCGGATGCCCACTGCATCCGATAACAAGTGTTCTGCTCAATCACAGGCCGGCCACTCCAATCCCCTTTGATCCGTGGGTTAAAATGCAGTATCTTCGGAGGGTCCTCACCATCCACAGCCTTCAGTCCCTGCAACTCCATCATGAACTGCGACACCATCTTGTTCTCCCCATCCTCCTTCACAAGCGCGATCCTTGACTCGCTCTCCAAATGGGCCAGCCGCGGCGTCCCCACCACTGTTATGTGGGACCCTAACGACAACCCGCAAGGTATCACCATCAAATTCCCCTTCTTCAAAAAGTCCTCCATAGACACAAACACAGAGTTCGGGCAGGGCTCGGAGGCCATGTTCATCGTCCGGTTCTCGACCTCAGACCGGGTTTTCCCCGACTCAAATTCCTGTAGAAATTTCTTTCCCAACACAAATGCATCCCTGGCTGCTCTGTGCAACTCCGAAAATTCATCCTTACTGACGCTATTGAACGCATTTTCGTCGAAAATGAGGCCAGAAATTTTCTTATATTCTCCCATCTTCCGCGCCGGTGACCGGAAAACCTGTTTTTCCTTCTCTTTTCTTGAAAACTGGTTATCATTTACGCTTCTGATGATTGGATTGGAGATGAGGGTTTCAGTGGACTCGACCTCAGATGATTCCAACCAGAGCCCAGTTCTCAAAACCAACGGAATCTCAAAGCTCACGAATAGTAGATACAAAAACAGGAGACCCAACAACACCTGAATCGATCTGAATCGACTCATTGAGATCAATGAATCGAACTTTGCTCGCTTCATTGATCCCATTTCACATCAAAAACACTAAAAAAAAATGTTGGGCTTTGCTTTCTTCTTTCAAATTCTTTACGTAATTACTCTGAAACCCAACCAAAATAGGGAAGTTAGTTCATCAGCTCAGGTGAACTAACTCATATTTTGTGTGTATGCATAGAGAGATTGTGATTTAAATTGGACAGAATTAAGAAACAAACACGGAAAAAGATTAAAAAAGGGGTCATAAAATGCACAAAAGACATGGGTCAGGTCTTCGAATATAATTATGGCTGCCACCACTTTGATGAATTTTAAAATATTATAAATCTTAGGCCCGTTCGGTGGACATTTATCTAAAAATGAGAATGAGAAATATAATCGTTACGGATCCTACACAATAAATAAAAAGTCAAATATAATGATTTGATATGATGGATAACGGTCATATTTTTTATTTTAATTGGCAAATAATAAGAATCAGACAGAGGCTTAATGAATTTTGTGAATTTAGTTGGATTTTCTCAAATTTTATAAAAATTCATCCAAATTTTTTAAAATTTCTCTATCATTGAAATCTTTTTAAATTCACTAGTCACATGAGAATATCTAAATTTTAAAGGATTTCATTAAATTTCATTAAAATCTCAATTGATAGCATTTAAATTTAGGAAAAAAAATTAAAGTTCACCACAATTTTAATTGAAGAAATCCATTAATTATTTAGCCCTTGTTTGAGCCACATTATATTTCTAAGAATGCATTTTTGAATAGTGTATTGATGAAAATATGTGGTTAAAAAATAAAGAAAAATTTTGAATTTGCGTGTAATATTATTTTATTGAAGAATGTGTGATTGAAATGATATTAAATCATTGTTTAAAAATATATTTTTTTTAAAAAAATATAGCTCAAACATAGCCTTAATTAAAAGCCTGATTGAGAGTGATTTTGAGAATTGATTTTTTGACTGTTAGGAGAAAAGTGGGGTCCACCTATGAGAGAAGAAGTCAAATATGAAGGCTGGAATAATGAAATAATGGTCATTGAATTTGCGTGTAATATTATTTTATTGAAGAATGTGTGATTGAAATGATATTAAATCATTGTTTAAAAATATATTTTTTTTTGAAAAAATATAGCTCAAACATAGCCTTAATTAAAAGCCTGATTGAGAGTGATTTTGAGAATTGATTTTTTGACTGTTAGGAGAAAAGTGGGGTCCACCTATGAGAGAAGAAGTCAAATATGAAGGCTGGAATAATGAAATAATGGTAAAAAAATCAATCTTTTGGAAGAAAAAATCGCTCCCAAACAGGCCCTAAGAGCGAAGGGTGTTGATAGATTGCTAATCTTCGATATATTAATTAATTGTTTTAATTGATTGGGTTTGAATTATAATTCATTGGAGGTCACACAATTCTCTGTCACATTTATGGCCATATTTGAACGTCATTATTTCCTCATTAAAATGAAAAATATGACTGTTATTTATCACATAAAACCGTCATATTCTACTTTTTATTTATTGTATAGGGCCCATAATGATTATATTTTTTATTCTGATTCTTAAAGTAATGTGGCTCAACCGGAGGCTATAATAATATTTCATTTTCATCGCCTAGCATATATTTTTAATTTAATTCCTTGTATATAAGGATGTCTAAAACACATGAAATTCGAGACTTGATCGGCGAAATTTGAGACTTGTTAGCATCCCATATTCATATACAAGTCATTT